TAGAAAGTGAAAACCTTCATTTTATTGGAGTGGAGAAGCACATTTGAAAGCATTTGTGTGACCGTCGCGGTTCCGTGCGGGCTTGTGCCCTCGCCGCTCCACCCCGCCGGTTCGTCACGCAACACCTGGGGCGCGAACCCGGGTCTCCAGGCGTAACGCAACAGGGAACCTGTAACGAACAGTTCTTTCCGGACCCTATGCGGACGACACAATCCGACGAAGTGGGGGAACACTGGGGAAACGTCATGCAGGAAAACGGGGCTGAAGACAGGGGGGCGTGTCCAAGGTGCGCTGGTGCACGGGGGAGGTGTGGCCGAGGCGAACAATCCAAGAGTAATCCTTAGGGAAAATCCAAAACACACGAGTAAGTCCAAAACCAGGAGATCCATCAGAACAAGAATTAAAAACCATGAAGACCGGGTCGGAACCGGCGGACAGGGACAAGGAACAGGGGTTAAAACCTTAACGGGACCAGGCGCTTCCTGGTCCCGGACTCGCACAATATGGAAATCAGATGCAGAGCCCGGAAGAGCGTCAGCGCCTGGCTTTTAAGGTGGGCAGGGAATAGGGAGCAGGTGCATGGAATAAAGTCTTGAGTGATAGGGCTGGAGCACCCTTAAGGAGGGGGAACTAATATCGTGACAGAACCACCCGAGTGAGCTAAAAGAGACCTCCCTCAGCCCAGGCGGCTGAGGTCCCTGCTACTTGCAGGGAGGGTGATGAAGCCACTGTGTCCAAACGAGCTCCGCTACATTTGCAGAGACTACAGTGCTGGTGGTGGCTGTAGAGGCATTCAGGTAATGGACAGTATCCTGGAGGTACACAAGAGAAACGTGAGGGCCATATCAGGAATGGTCCTGTCCTACACCAAAACCAAATTTACTGTGCAACGCAGAAAGACCCTAACTCTGATGGGTTTACTTTGATGAGATTTGGGAATGACAGGGAAATGACGTATGTTGGACGAGAAAGAGCTCAGAAGGGAATAAACCATTTGGATCAAACTCCAGACTGCTCCAGTTTCAAGGCAACAGCAGAACAAGGGTGGGATGATAGGTTTTGGGGCAATTGGAATCAATGACAAGAACATAAGAAAGGTCACTGATGACAGAAGGCCATTCAGCCTGTTTGGTTAATAAACATCTAAATAATCAGAGCATCTCATCCACCTGTTTCTTGAAAGAATCTATACTGTTGATTAACTAGGATCTGTCTCAATGAAAAGTTTGTGGCTGTGAGCCAACTAGCCAATATGTGTTTTTTCTGATCTTGAGCAGGTAACAGAAGTGGTGAGAATTTCACATTTTAGTCTGTGTTTCCTGCATGGCTTCCTGCAACACTGAAACCTCCCTTTCTGCAAGGGTCAACAGGTCATCAGCTGAAGCTCATCTAAGATGACACAGCTGTTGGAAGTTACTGCCTTGATAGATGGCAGCTGTGATCCTCTCTGTATGAATGGGGGCTCTATTTAGTAGGTGTTAAAGGGTGAATCTGCAGACAAGACACATGCTGGGGCCTCTGAGGGAGCCCCACAAGCAGCCTTAACAGCAGCTGAAACCCGGACTGCTACAGAGTAAGAGTTAGGGACCAGAGTGCTGGAATACTCAGGAACCAAAGCGAAGTGACTGTGAAGAACGTTTTGACAAGCAAATCAAAGGGAATGCGAGTTCCTTTCAGCTACTATCTCCCACCCTTTCTCAGCATTGGAGTTTTAAAGAGGTTGTCACTGCATTGGGTGAAATCAGTCATCAGCTTTAACTGCTGCGAGGACCCCTCATAACTTACAAACTTTTTGGTTTGCAAGATTAGCCTGAAGGATTCCCCTCCACTGCCTTTTAGGAGAGATTCTATAAGATCGCCCCCTGGGTAATGGGCTGTCTGACAGCAGCTGGCACACACAGAGGCTGAGTGAGGAGTGCGGCTGACCAGATGGTAGGGAATGGAATCATTGAAGCACCTAACTGCAGGAATAGAAGACAGGAAATGACAGAGGAGAGGGGTGGCAGAGTTCTGTCGGTGGCTTCCAGAGAGCTGTGGTGTCTCAGCAGCTGAATACAATAAATGGCACTTCTGCCAATGTGTGTGACACAACACAGAGCAGGGTGGCAGTGGTCTGCCACTTCATATGCTATGTAGTGCCAGGCAGACCAGCAGAAGGAGGAAGCCTCTCCATCTGACATTTAGTTGAAGATCATAGCAACAGACACAATCACTACCATCCAGGCCCCACACAGCTACCAATCCTTCCCAAAAATAAAGGCAGAGCTGACAATGACTCGTTTTGTCATTTTTGTTCTGTTACTGTGAGTCCAATAAATGACATTTCAACAGAAATAAATTGGGTAAAATCCTATCTATGGTCTTTTATTTTGGAATCTGTTATTGAGCACTTTGGGAGGCAGATATTGAGCCTTAGACAGGGTGTGTCTATCGAGTAATAAGACATTAGACAGTCTAAATTTAAAATTTAAGGAGTCCTGCAACTATTGGGGTGATGTTTTGGAATAGCTAGAACATTATGCAGAGGAATCATACTGGTATAGCTGCAGATACCACCTAGAGAGCACCTCAATCGAGAAAGCATTGCCATCAGATGGCTTCGAGTCTGTCAACGCAATTGCAAAGCAAAGCAAAACTGCTTTGAGTCAGCTGTGAGGCTGACTTCCCATAATGCTTTCTGGATTTTGAATCTAAAAAGTTAACTTTTTTTGACCCAGTGTAACAGCATACGGGGATGAAGGTGATTATGTTGCTTCAGCATACGAAATTATTAAGGCATGGGTCTCTTTTAACATTGTTTTCATGTTTTACAATGGAGTGTTTTGAAGTTATAGGTTACCTTGTACATCTGTCACATAATAATTAAAATGACAGACCATGCAAATGGAATTTTAATAAGAACAGACTCTTTGATGGGCTGCTCATCTGCAGTAGTTTAATAGAACTGATTTATACTGCACCCTGGAATTTTAGAAGAACAGTTTCTCACCCTGGGATTCTAGAAGAAGTGTTTCGTACTGCACACCCTGGAGTTCTAGAACTGTCTCACACACTCGGATTCTAGAAGAACTGTTTCTCACCCTGGAGTTCTAGAAGAACATTTGCACACACTGGGATTATAGGAGAACTGTTTCACACTGCACACCCTGGAGATCTAGTACACTGCAAATCCATAAAGAGTACATCACCCATTCCTTTATCTCAAACTCAGAGTCCTAGAGGCTTTTGCTAATAATGCTTTGAGAAAATTAGTTCCAAAACAATTTGATCCCCCACAGACTTGGCAAACTTCATATACTTAGAATAAGGTTACTATTTCTGAATTAAAGACTTCAAGATCTCAGTAATTAATCATTTACACTGAGATTTGGCTATGGCTAAAGAAACACAAAGTTTTGGCTGTGGAGCCTTCTTCAGGTCTGTTTAGCTTTTCTTCGGGTGGACACCCGAAGAAGGCTCCACAGCTGGAACGTGTTTCTTTTTCTTCTCTTTTCAGCGTGGAATAAACCTTTACTTGTTCCTTTGCAGCCTATGCCTGCTGACGCAGCTACCTACAGTACTTGAACTATGTCAGCTCTCTCAGCCATGAGGGATTTTAGCCTTTTGATCCAAGGAAATGTGCAAGTAATAGTGTGAACAAGAAAGACAGAATTGTACCCGTCCATCAGAGCCAGACCTGGAAGAGCAGAAGGGACTACCCCTCACACACTGTCACAATTATGAGACACCAGTCCGCCTGGCAGGAATGTCTGTGGACGGTCTAGAACGACACCTGAAGAAAACTCACACGAACACGTGAAACTACCCCAAGCCAGGAAAGAACCCAGGTCTGAGCTGTGAGGCTGCACTGCTAATTCCCTCACCTACAGAATTCCTTCAGAACGCTCTTCTTAATTTCGGTCTCTCTAATAACTTCTGCACAAGTGCCTCCGCCGGCAATCCTGATTTCCTGGGCTTCTATTACAGCCCAAATGTAATAGTGAACTCAGTTTTCCATGTAAAAAACTGATACATGTGTTCTGGCTAAAACAGTGTCTTCATTACCAAGCAATTTACCTTTTACTCTTGTCATGAAGAGTTGAATACGTTTCTGGAAGTAAAAGCAACTCCTTGAAATCAACTAAAGTGCACAAAAAGCTACAGTGTGACAGAAGCATAAAGTAAAAGTGCTTCCCATTCTAAAGGCTCCATTAACCTCTGTTTGTCAATGAGAAGTTTATTCCAGGCACACGAGCCAGTTGACAGAGCAATGAGACTCAGTTCTTGGTGCAGTCACACACCCACACAGATTGATTAGGCTGAAAACTTTGGAACCTCCATTTCCATACTGACACTTCAGCTGTTCCAAATTCCTCTCCCTTTGACGTTCATTCCCTCAACACCAGCCCCACAGCTACCCCCAGCACCACCTTGCACACACAGAGACTTGAATTAGCTTGTTGCCTTTTTAATGACTTCCTAATCCATTTTTAATGTTGTTTTCCCAATATGCTTTGCAGGAGAGGAGATGGATTAATAACTAATTCCAAAAACGGAGGAGCCTAAGAAATAGTTCTCTCCACCTATTTTGACATTTGTCCCTTGATCAAGGGGGCAGGACTGGGAAAAGAAGACTGTCACGAAGACTGTGAAGAGCAGTGTTCACAAAGTATGGCTGACGGCCTTCAGTTCAAACCACACTTTATCATAATAAGGGCAACAGGCACTAGAGCTCCAATCTCTGCTAATACATCACTGCCCACAGTAAAACAGCCCAGTCTCTGATTCCTGGCACTGGCACCTGGAGGAATGTCCTTCCCAGGTGTGTGTCCAGGGGCCTGCAGCTTAATAATGATTTTCTGGCGCCCTTTTTCTTGCTGTTTGCACGGGCCTAATGAGCTCTCAACTCCTGCATTATCCTGTCTTCCCTCAAGGTGAGGCCAATGCGCCACAGTCATTATCCCCCGACACATGTTACCAAAATATTAAAAAATCGATTTGAAAAAGTATGTGGTAAAAAACGGAAGGACTCACATTGCTAGCACATTGTTGGGAGGCCAGGGTGAGGATGAGTCTTCTTAGCTTCTTTCCCTGTCAAAACACCAACAGACATAAAGTGTGTTTAACCGGCAGAGTTTCTTTTGCACCCAATTAAGAAGCTCTTCTTCCACTGCTGGACTCCAATATTATCATGCTGGGTCCTGCTTGACCTGCCTTTTCAAAAATGTAAGCAAATTTAAAGCACAAGTGTTAGCCAACAACTAAAACAGCGAACAAGCCATTGGCACTGAATGATAGAAACATTAAAAGAAAACCTTCCAGGAAATATCTCTGGTGGTGAATTAAGGTCTCATTGTGAACTTCATAGGAAACTCATTTTTATTCCCATTATTGAGATTATACATTATGCATACAACTTCCTCATATTACCAGTAATAATCAAAACAATCCTAGATACCTGTTTTCCACCATGAATTGGTTGCTAAAACCTTCACACTCCATGCCTCATCTCATTATTTGCCTCATTAATGGCATCTCATTAATGCAAAACATTCCTAGAATTTCTAACCACTAAGATTGATAACATCTGACACAAAACTCCTGCCCCACCACTTGCCTCTACAGTACTGATGCTTTGTGTGTCCGACTTGGCTGGTTCTCCTCTTTCTCATTTCCCCACAGCTCACTCCTGCCTGCTTCACTAAACCGTTCTCTCATGTGAAGCCCATTTCCGCATTGCAAATCCCCCTTCCCTTCATTTTATTTCACTCCTGTCTGTCTGCCCTTTGCCTCTTGGTGTTTAATATAATTAATGTCTCCCTGAGAAGTGGGATGGTGCAAACTGCCTGCGCAAACTCCTGCTGTCACGCCAGTGCATACAAATCCTCATAGAACTTTGGATAATCTGAATAACGTTTGGCTCATATCTAACTTGCCTTTTCTTGCAAAGATCTTAGAAAGTGCTGTTGTAGTGCAAGTGTATTAGAGTGTACTGAAATTCCTTGTTGCAGTTGCTAATGAGATCCTCTGTGTCGAGAGCAATTAATTCATTTATGTTTCAACATACATTCGAGTACGTCAGGGGATCCACACTCTGGTCCTCTAGGGTCACTGCCCTGCACGTTTTATAGGTCTAAATACCCAGCTTCTGAAGAACAAGCACAGGCTTTAACTTAAAACAAATACACTGTATGAGATCAATGTGTTTGAGAAAACAAGCAGTTGTTCTGTGGTCTTTCTGTTCAGTGTCTGTATTCCACAATTATGGGAGCAAACATTTGTCTTCTTCAGCTCCTGTTAGCATATTAACTGTGTGGGCTGCGCAGTGGCCTTACTGGGACTGCATTGTTGTACCAGTGTGACAGGGATCGTGTGCAAGACAATTTCCAGTTTATACAGATGTAGGAATTTCATAGAACTTTTTATTGTTTCACGGTAACATTCTCCAGGACAGGACTGGAGTTGTGCTCTGGTGGTATAAATCATGATATTCGGTTAGAGGGCTTGGTTGACATCATGTCCCTTAAATGTTTTAAATCTGTATCTAAATGGATCTGAAAAGGGTTGAGGTGGTTAGGAACAAATCCCTGGTTTCCTTTAAGATACGGCTAGCTTTGGAAAAATGAGCAACTAACTAATAGATTGATGGGCCTAGTAAATGCATTCTTGTTTGTAATTTTAATGTTCTTATTTAGCTGAGCACAAACATTTAATTTCTCCTTGTGGTTCTAGTTCTGAGGTTGGGCTGGTTACCTCTGGTGTTCCACAGGGCACAATACTGGGCATTTCGCTGTTTGTATTTGGTTCCCCTTGGTGAAATGCTAAAATTACAGGATCTAACACAGAGGTCTTATATAAAAGTTTGGATAACTCACAATCGTAATTGTAATAAGGCTGAGGTCTTGCTATTTGGTTCCTCCTGTCAGTTCTGCAAAACCAGTGCTTTAACCTTGTCAACTGACACAATGTGTCTGAGTTCCGATCCAAAATGGAGAATATGGGAGTGACCTTCAACCCTGGATTGAATTTTGAACCCTGTGCTCAGAATATTATGAAGACAGAATTTTTCCATCTGAGAAATATGGCCAGACGGCCTCCCTTGCTGTCTGTGTCTGTCGCCGAAGAACTGATTAATGCATTTGTTTTTCCAATGATCGCTCATTAAACCACCCTCCTTGTAGGAGTCTCTAAAATTACATTTGACAAATTACCATATGTTCAGACTTTGGCAGCCAGAATCTTGACTGGATCTTGAGCAAGAGATTATATTACTCCTGCACTGGAGTCCCTGCACTGGCTTTCTGTCAGGTTTCAAA